AATGCCTTTGAATAACAATCTGAATTTTTAGATCGTGACAAACGACCTCTGAATCTCTAATGCGACCTAGATAATCTGAACTAACAACCTCTGAATCTCTAAAACGGCATCCATAATCATGATCGGTGATCTCAGATTCTTGGTAGCAATGTTGACATGAGAAATAGAATTCTAAGCATTTCATTCCTTGATTTCCCTAGGTTTTTGATTGGACAGGGAAGTTTCTATGTGGAGTATGACTAAAATCCATGCCGTAAAATTTGGTATACTTGTGTATGATAATCGTAAGTAATACTTCTTGCAATTATCATATTATGGTTGTTGGTCTCGCTGCCAGCTGGCAAGAAGGTAAATATCGATGTTTATGCTCGTTTAGACTATGTAAAGTCTTTATTTGATAAATATAGCAAGAAAATTAAAGAGGTGGCTGATAAGACCCTTATCAAAGCAATTTTTAATTGGGTGGGTGACACGTTTGCCCCACTTAATATTCCTGTGATATCATATCCAGTGACGCAGGCTATGCTCAACTCTTATTTTCTTCACACTACAAAGGATGATGCTGCAACGTCATGATTGCGAAACTTCTATTGACACCATCAAAACTCATTGCCCAAAAGTAACATTTGGCGCCATAACTAAAGCATCGAGCATTTTTATGTATTGGCCTTATATTGGGCATGGGTCATTAAGAAAAGTCAGACCCATAACACATATAGAATAAACTATTTTCAAAGAAATCCCTAACTATAACTATAACTATAACAGAAACTAAGCCAGATAAGTCCTGTATTGGTTTTTGGTAACATTACAACCCAAGAAACTGAAGAAGCTTCAATGGAGTCTCAGAAAATCTTGACAATAAACTAGTTATAACCATTCAAATGACAGAAAATAAACTACATTAACATAACACAAAGAAATCAAACTATGTAACGATCAAAAGATCGGTACTTCTCTGGAAATGTTTAAACCATAAGAAACCCCAAAAAAAACAAGAACTACTGATTGATACTACTACTACTACATAAGAATCCAAGAAACACAACTAAAATATTACCCATTATAAAAGACAAAGGTATATTTTTTCCCAACTGCTTGTTGTGTTTTGTG